ATTCTTGTAATTTCTATAAAAAATTGAAAATAAGTCACTCTAATTGCTCGATAGACTTTCAATTGAATTTATATATTTGCACAGAATCAAAACTAAGCAACCCTTCAAATCCCAAGAAACGTATTGTTCTAATTTCTATAAAAAATTGAAATAGGTCACTCTAATTGCTCGACAGACTTTCAATTGAATTTGTATATTTCCACAGAAATAAAACCAAGCAACCCTTCGACTCCCAAAAAAGGTTCGTTCGACTTTTCACAAAAAGTTGGAAACAGGTCACTCTAATTTCCCGGTAGATTGAATATTAAACTTCGCGCGAGTTCGCAGTTCGGTCCTCGCGTTCGTCACTGTAGAATAAAACGATAAGAAACGATGCACGCGGCCGTAACGTGTATCACGCTCGGCGAGGCCGAGTCCGGGCAACAATAACCCGTTCATACTTATTTGCCGCGCGCGACGCAGCGGCTCGATGACAAATATTGGCCCCCGTTCTCCCCGGTCGATCGTATTTCGCCCCGGTTTATGGTGCGTGTACAAGGATTTACCGTCCAGCCGGGCACCGCATCTTATCCCGGACGCACGGCCTGACGAAGCATTCGGGCAACGAACAAGAAACTCGCCTCGAAAGGATGATTTATGGGCCGGCCACGCGCTCTCGAATTTTTCCTCTCCTAGGAAAATCGGTCGGCGAACGCGATTATAATGTATCGGCTGGCGGGAAACTCTTCGGGGGAAAACAGACGCCCGCCTTCTTGGAAAGATGTTCATCCGCGACGTGGAAATAAGAATCTCGAAATGGCTATGAAATTATTTATACAACCGTTACGGAGGTGCAATTGAACTTGGTTCGCCAAAGAGGTTTCTGAATTCAAAGTAAAAGGGGAGAGACAGAGGGAAGAAATGTAAGATAACTGTATATTCACTTGGATTTCGTGAATTCTGAGGTTTTCCATTATAAATTAGACTTCTACAACGATTAGAATTCCTTCCGAGACTCGTAAGGAAAGTATACATGTCATACATAATTGCGTAGAGTAATTTGATTGATAAATGACCCGCCACAAAACCGACGTTTCCATCGACCGCGTTACACAGTTGAAAATTCTATGCCTCCCGCTGCACGTCGAACTCTGAATTTTGAAAATGGAATGAAATTTCGCGTTATAAATATCTCGACCGGCCGTTTCGCCGGGCGGAGAATTTAAATTAGAGTTTCCATGCAATTTTGCTCGCGATAAACGCACACTTATTACCCGCGGTATTGTTTAACTGTTCGTTCGGCGCGGGAACGGTGGAAATTGTTTTCGAGCGCACCCGAAACTCCGATGCTTCCCCGGGACGCCCAAGCGTCGGATACAAGAATCGTTAATTGATCGGCACCCTTCGCGTTCCGCGATCGCTCGTTCCCGTTTCGCACACGTGCGTGCGGCAGAAATGATATGCGCCGTGTAACCAGAATTTCGCGCAACGAACCGGGACGCGCGCCGATAACCGACTCGGAATCGTCGAGATTATTGCAGTTTTTCGGCGCAACCGATCGACGCCGCCCGCCGTCGCAATTCGAACGCAATATCAACAGCCCGACAAGCGTTTTCATCGTACTCGGCGCCAGTGTGCACAAGAAATTCCTGCGCGCGGAAAAATCGCGCGGGCGGGCCAATTAATTGCAACTCAACAAAATGACTGTTTACCCGACAGAAATTGAACAGGACAAATTGATGGGTCGCTCTCGCCAGCTCTGAAAAATTCCCGATGCCGGTCGCGTCGCGGCGCGGCGCGGCACGAGGATGCGGAAGAGTCGCGAAGTTTAATTGGAACCTTTTTCCCCGTGCGTCGACGCGGCGCGAAGTTTCTTTTGCCTCCTGGCCGGAATGAAATTTGATATCGGCTGGAGGGAAGTTTAATCGGAATCTAATTTCAGTTAGTTGAATAAATGATGCTCCGATCGGTTGCGGGTTAAATTTGGGGGAATCTAAGGTTGTACGCGGGGAATCGACCCGGATGAGTCGATTGAATGAACTCTGGATGAATATCACCGATTATGTTTTCGATAATTTTGTATTGTTTCGAGTGTTTCGTTTGGAATGCATTTCGAAAGAAATTTGTTCGGTTGGATGATAGGAGATATGTCTAAAATGTCAGCAGAGAAGCATATATTCGACGCGGGTGTAAATTAACCCTTTGCACCCGAGAGGTGACTCTCAGTTGATTTGATACGGAAAAAATGAAGTTGAATATTTAGTGTTCTAACCGAAACTTCGTATCGCTATGTGAAGTATTTCAGTAAAATAGCTTTGTTGCTCGATTCATCTGTGAATTATCGTTGAATTAGTTTCAAACAATGTCATCTATATCTCGTCGGAAAATGTTGAATATTTCCAGTGAGAAACTTTCGAGCGCAAAGACTTAATGAATAACCCGGGAATAATAAAATATTCAGTTCAGTAGAATTTACAATAGAAGGCGTTACCAACTGTGAAAATATGATAACCAGGTGAACTTTGTTTTTCCTGCCGCCGCCCGTAAAAATGAACATTTGCATAAAATAATAAGTTTATCATGTTTAGCGGAGTGTCTTCGATATCCGCCGCGAGTTTATAGGTCCGATGGAGTCTTCTTTCGCATTCACTCGCCTTTGATTATATTAATACGATTTTTCTCCCCTCCCGACAGCCGGTCTTTCCGGACAGCATGAAATATTAAGATAAATGTATTATACGCTCGTCGAATGACGCCCTGAAAAATAGCACGTCACCCTCTTCAGAAATAAATGAATATCTTACCTGCTGCACCATCAATCTTATTGCTTATCGACCGGCTTATACGTGTACCTACACCGACCGGCTAATACGTTTCAATTCGGTGGCCGGAGCGCGGCTTCCATTTTTATTCGCCGCCGCACTCGGAAGTAAGTTCACCCGGAACGAGCAATGAAAACGCGGAATTGCTTTCCCTTAACGCAGCTCCATTCGACGAAAAACGACGTACCTTTAACCACGTAAACTCTCGTAGTATTCGTGTACATCGAGTGTACGGAATCAATATCTGAAACTTCTATTTTAAACTCGTGTCTTTCGTACGTTGCGAATAATATACATTCTTTTACCTTCCAACTATTTCGATTGTGAGAGAATTAATAGTACTACAAAGTTTCTCTTGGATTGTATTGTATTGGATTTTATTCTATTATTAATTTGGAAGATTAATGATAATTAGTATTCCGAGATATTCGATTGCGAAATCAATATCTGAAACTTCTATTTTAAACTCGTGTCTTTCGTACGTTGCGAATAATATACATTCTTTTACTTTCCAACTATTTCGATTGTGAGAGAATTAATGGTACTACAAAGTTTCTCTTGCATTGCATTGTATTGGATTTTATTCTATTATTAATTTGGAAGATTAATGGTAATTAATATTCTAAGGTATTCGATGGTGAGGAGATTAATAATAATCAATAGTATTCTAGATTCCCAACGAATCCACACTTTTAATCACAGTCATGAATTGTGAAACAATTTCCTTCCACGTTCTTTCAAGAATATTAACACTAAAACTACCAGACGCGTCAAAATCACCCATGCCTGATTCCCTTTTGCAATTATTAAGAAAATAACGTATATTCCTCTGAGAAATTCATTCGCCGATACGCAAACTGTGAATCGAAGTCTCGACGAAAGCACTCTCCGAGTTTCTATAGAGAAATTTTAAAAACTCAATGTTAATAACCCAGTTGAATAATCACTGAACCTATGCACAATGAATTATTATAAAGATACTAAAAGAAAAGCGAATAGAAAAGAGTAAAAAGATTTCTCGGCGTTTCACGAGCCGCAACTCGAACACTTTCGGAGCGTTTCACGGATTACCGACCGCGCGAATTTCGCCAATTTCCGTGCGTTATTAACGTTATTAAACGTCAGTTTGTTCGTCGGTTCGCGGTTTTTCGGTCGCGATCATTTAACGGGGCCATTCGGTTGAAATTTTACGGCGCTCGGAAGAGAGAGAGGGAGACAGAGAGAGAGAGGGAGAGAGTGAGAGAGAGAGAGGCGGAGACACCACCGTGCCGCGCCGCGTCGGCGGTTATATACACGGTGGGCCGCTTGTACGCGTACGCGAACTAATTGATTAATGGTCAACAGATGTACGGGCACCATGCTAATTTGCCCCCGTGCCTGTTAACACCCCCGTAAAATCTGTTAAACGCGACGCCGTAATAAGCGTTACGCATCCCGGGCCGGGCCATTCACTTGAATTTATTGAATTCGTCCCTGGCGCCGGACCGTGAATTATTCCACCCTTGACAATGGGAACACTTATACACGCGTCTCCGTAACAATGACGGCCTGTCCGCCGGTCATTAACAAATCGACCGTACCGCTTTACCGGCGAACTTTATTGCAACAATTTTCGATGCCGCCGTTTTAACGCTAGAACAACCGAGCGTTTAGCATGATTAACGTGCGAGTTGTATGAAAATTGTAACGATAGATTTGTTTTCGGTTTATTATTGTATATGGATTGTAGTATTGAAGCGAAACCATCTAGTTTTCAAGTTGTCTCAGGTATTTAACGCTTTTAAGATATCGATCGGTGCGAAACGAGGAACCCGGGACCCGCCATTTTGTCGGCGCGGTTGTTCCAGTGGTAAGCGATTTCTTTTTTGGGATCGAGAATATTTTTAGGCATGTTTTGTACGTATTTTTGGCCTGAAGCGTGATAATTGGTGATAGGAGAATAATATTTGATTTGAATTTGAATTGTTTAAGTTGAAGAGAATTGAGAAACGTTGAGGTTTGCTGGAGTCTAAAATTTGTAAGATAAGGAAAGTAACTAAGTTGTTTTGATTGATCGAATTTAATTGGTGATCACTTTTGATTGATATTGCACAGAAAATTGTTAGACAACGGAGAGGTACAGATCGAAACGAGAAACGTTGAGGTCACTGGTTAACCTCTTCTTGCGTCTGCCTCTAAACAATCCGCTCTTTGTTGCAGAAATGTGCCGAGAATGCGTTGAATTGATTCCACTTCGACGAATTTTGGCTTCGGGAATGAATTCGACCGTGCTGCTCTTCCTTCTGACTGGTGAGTCCTGGATTCTCTGAAATTTGTTAATCGCATTCGTTAAGTAGCCGCGAAACGTCAGCCACGAAGCGGTTCTCGTTACCAATGGGAACAAGGTGAAATCCAATTCTCTAATTACATCGAAAACTTAATACCTCCAATCTCGCGTTTATTACAACACATTCCTTATCACTCTACTATACAGCACTAATGAAGCTATTAAATTTCCAAAAAGAAAAGTCGATAAAAATCTTCAAAATTAGTCACACACTTAATTCTGCATTATCATACATTTATCGAAGTAATAAAACAGTTCATTGACAATCTTTCCTAAAGCTTTCATCTCAAGCGATCAAACTATAGACTCTGAAAAGAAGTCTCTAAAAAGAAACCACACAGAGCTCGTTCCTCTTGTTAATTTTTCAATCAACCAATCACTGGGCGCTGCAGCTCGACAACACCGGACGTTATCGCGATCCACGGGAAACGGAATCCAAATTACCCTCCGTTCAAGCCTCGAAAAAGATCGCAGATTACTGGTAGCCCATTGTCTTAAGGAGGACCCATATAATAACATTCTTATCTGCCCATTAATCTATACACAGATGAACCACCGAACACGTCCCTGGGGGACAGAAATCCCTTTCCAACCCTCGTGTCGGCTATTATCGAGGTGAGACGGGGACAGGCGTGGCCGGGTCACGCATTCACTGACGAGACTAAGGGCTCGAGGTTTCGAAGTCGTGCCTCCTGTCAATTTTATCATGCGACACGGGTCTATTTTTTATTGTTAACCTTTCGTAGTCTGAAGTGCTCTTGGCTACTCACTTTAACATTCACATTGATGTTGTTTCATTCGATTACATCTTAATATGACGCTCTAATTATTTATTCAATGACACTTGGGAATCACTGAAATGGTACCTTTAAATAGTACAATTATACTATAGATAAATGTAGAAAAAATTGTTCAAGTAAGTATACGTTGCAATAAAATCGAATGTTGAGTCTGACTAGACTGTTTCTCCGTAGAGTTATTTTGTAACAAAGAGAAGTAGGAACGATGATTAATTATTTGACGTTACTAGCCTTGCATTAGACTGTTATCAGCTTAGTTACGTTATTAAATATTTTCATTCAACATCGGTTATCTTGCAAGTTACGATTGTTTTCAAGCAATTCAAAAGGTCATCAGTGACCAACACGTTTAACGTGTCAATCAGTTTTTCCATTTTCTTTTGTATAGTCGAGAGTGATTTAGTCGCGAAGTCAAAATTTCGACCGTGTCAGTTTTGTAGTGGAATTTGATTATTCTATTAATTCCTTATTCTAAATTAACCTTCTTTAATCTCCTTTAAACAATCATAATCAACGTGGTTAGAGTACCTATGAACTATCATTATAAGGAATATTTTTATCATTATATTATTGATTTGTTCGAGGATCCTTGAACTCAACTTTTGTATCAGAATAGCTTTAAACTCCACAAATTCCGAACAATATATTTCTATATATTTCTATGCACGTTTCTCTGAATCATTAAAAGATTGTACATGCATCAAATATGAAACATATATTTACCCACTGCCAAAAATTCAGGTACAAATGTTTATTTTCATAGTGTGAAATATTCATCAATACAAATTACCTTCGATTTCGTTGTGAGAAAACCAAATGATTCTTCAAATGAGAATAAAAACGTCCAAGTCACGCGTGGACGCGTCCGGCAAGAGAATAGGGGCGGCTCGGACACAAGTCACACCTCAATTGCTGCCAATTCTCAGTCGTGGTTGGCATTCGGCCATCTTCCTCCCCTTTCTCACCTGATTCCTCGCTCGAAGTCCCTAATGCGTGAGGAAAGGGGCGAAGAAATTCATTCGCTCCGGGGAGGTTGAATTTTCCCCGACGGTCCGGACCTCCGTCGCTCTTTGATTGCTGCGGATGGATCTTGAGGGCGCAGTCTTATGATTTTATGGTAATGGAAAGGTTGCAGGGGCGCGGAATTGATTTTTGAGCCGAAGAAACGTCGGGCTCCGCTAATGAGGGTAACACCGGGCCGGCACGATGGGGTTAGGTGTAACGGCAGCGCAAAATTCCCGTTGAACCTCGATACCCGCCCTGCCGCTATTATCAAGTATATCGATAAGCAATTAGTTCGTCCGAAATTCAATGATACAGATTAAACAGAAAGTAATTTGTCGTATTTGATTTACGAGGGAACTGTTCACCGAAACGATTGACAAATTCAAATGGAACTTTGCCGGCGACTAGTTTATCGTTGAAAATTATCAATACATAATTTTGAACGATAGACTAGCTGCTACCAACGTCCCGTCAAAACCTGTCAGTCCTACATATACTTACTATACTCCAATTCCATCTATCTACCCTATTTACAACTCAAAACAATCCCGCGCTGAGACCAAGAAACTCCCATTTCCCAGCGCCGTTCGAACTGCCAACTTCCACATTCCCTCTGCGGCAAACGCAAACGCTGCACCGTTGCAAAACAAATCAATTAACCGCAAGAAACCAATCCCGATAACGACAATCGGCAAAGGACTCCCGACAAAAGGATGCAACTCGAGGCTCATCATCCCGCTAGCAGCGGCAGCGCGTTCAAAGGAAAGAAATCCCTCGGCCCACCGTTGACCGCACGTAGACAAAATCGATAGCCCGAACGAAGGAGCTGCTCGAAACGGAAACGACCCGGTAAAACGAAAGGGTGACCTAAGTTTGATTTGGCAGAGATCGACTCGTGGCTCTCGAGGCTCGCCCCAATATCCACCCACCACCCTGAATCCGCCTGCTACCCTCTCTCTCTCTTTCTCTCCCTCTCTCTCTGTTCTGTCTCCTCTGTTGGCACGCTGGAACAGGCCGCCGCGCTCGCTCTCCTCGACTCGCGCCTCTCACAAAGCCAGACACGGTGGAAAAAGGAGGAGAGCACCGCGTCTCCCGTGCACGTCCACCGGTGCAACGGCCGTCCACCGTTGTGCAGAGCCTACGGTCGATGCAACGAAACCGAGGAAGAGGGAAACGAACGGCAGGGAAGAAGATAGACGGACGGATAGATAGGGAGGGGGCGGTGGGCGGAGAGATAGCGACAGGGGTGAAATGGGTGGGGGCCGCGGCGGCGGCGGGGCGAAGGGGCCGGGAAAAAAAGAGGAAGAAGTACGTTTGGTTTGGCAGCGGGCGGCAGTGGGCGTCGAACTCGGGACATCGCGCGCGGATGACGAGTAATCGATCACGAGCACTGTGCCAACACTCTCCGTACACCCGAAGAGGGTACGCCAGTGATTCTCATTTTCTGGCTTGGTAATTGTTACGTGTCGTCCACCTGCGACGCGAGCTGCTGTCTTGTAGGGAGTACGGTAAACTGTGTCGATTTTGATTGATGCGATTAGGTGGGCTTGTTTCTCTTTTGAAAGAACTGTTTCGTTTAGATGGCCACTTGCTGGGAGTTCGTTTAGAGATTTGGAAAAGGGTTGGGGGAAGATTTTTATGTATTTTATGCGTTAGATCTGTTTGTATTCGAATGTTCTGTAGAGCGGTAGGATTCAGAAGAATATGGCATCTATAATGCATTGAGGCTTGCGATGTATAGGGGACGTGGAATTTTGGGACATTCTCGCGTGGCACGTTTTTTCAGTGCGAAAGGTTAATACTTGATGAAGAGGGAGTATATTTGTGAGGGTAGGTGTATGTGAAGAGTTAAGTGGTCTCTGGGCAGGGTTCAATGTATAATACTGACAATGATTGGAGCTATAGGTATTTGACAATGTAAATGAGATCGGGTTACCTCGGAATTACCCTGTATGAATGTATAATCGTCTAGTTTTAAGTCTTTAATGAGCAAGGTCTAGATAAACGATCGTCGAGTTTTATAGAGATGATATGGTAAACGTATCTGAGCCTAGTGTTAATGTAGAGAAATTATGGAACTCGATTACCGTTAACCCTTTGCAGTCGACAGTTTTTCGCTGGAAATGTTCAACGTTTTCTGACGAGATGTAGAATGTTTCTTGAAATTTGCTTGACAATTCACGCGAAACGAAAAATATTACGTATATTTCATTACCGAGAAATCCCTCGGATGCAAAAGATTAATGTATTCATCGTGGTCGAAAACTAGTTGGTTCATCGATATTCCCCGGACTCGAGAATCACGCGATGATTTAGCTAGATCCGAGCGCCGTCGTTCTCCGGTTCCATCTCCCAGGTGACTTGAAGTTTGACGAGAAAGTTCGAGGAAAGAGACTGAAAGTCCATGGATCGAGACAGCTTGATCTATGATGTTCGCGTGTGTCCTCTTCGCACGAGCTCGGCTGGATGTTGTATACGGGCTTCGCGTGGATTTCGCCGGATCCGGTTCGGATCACGCGATTCGTCGTCGAACGTGATTCCCCTGGCATTGTTTTAATCAAATTCGCAGGAAGCGTTCGGCCCAGATCCGAACGCCGTATTCGTCACGTATATCAATAGTATTCTCAATGAAAACAGAAATCTGCAACAATCAAGCAGAAATTTCCTCGCGAGATCACGTCGCTCGTCATTCTGGGCACAGCGAACAGCTCGTCTCGCCCTTTGAAAAAACTTACCACTCGAATTACCAACCGAATCGAGTTTCTAATTTTCGAGACAAAATGATTCACAGGTCCTCTATTAATCCCGTGAATCGAAATTTCCTATTATAATAAGAAACAATAACAATTATCAAAGTAAAAATTCGTCATTCGCGTTTCGAATCGAGTCTCCTATTATCGAAACAAAATGCTTAACAGGTTCTCCATTAATCCCGTGGTCGAAATTTCCTATTGTAATAAGAAACAATAACAGTTATCAAAGTAAAAATTCGTCATTCGCGAGACGGATACTAAAAAGCCCCTGCTCCAGCCGATGTTTTCCTCTTAAAAATATCCTCCGTTCCCCGGCCATCGATTCAACGTTAAAAAAGAGTCAGACGACTAAAGCCGCGTCTACAAAGCGTGCACGTTGTACCGCGCGCATCCGCGACAGCGAAC